TGTATGACTTAATAGGTTCTTAGATATGTTGACAATGTATCAAAAATAAAAGACACATCTTTTATCTCTTCGGACATAAATCAAGATTGGTCTCTAACAAAGTATCATGACTACCCAATTCTCTATGAGGATTAATTAATCCATAATTATCTTTCACGACTTACCATATAATTTAGTCCCGATATCAAATTATCATAGTGTGATCTCGAACTTGTTTATATTCTGTTTGATTATGATTACATAGGTTTTCTTCGATTCCCAAGTGTCTTACCTCTAGACTAAACCAACAATGCTCTATTGGTATACCTATACTATGGTCATAGATTCCTTAAGTAAACATAATCAAAGTAAAATATGATAACTCCTTTAGTATACAAGGAATGACATATCTTATCTTAGTCATCCACCTATCTAGTGCACCTAATAAATCGTTCACCTGCAGACTTTTGACCGAGCCTATTAAAATGAGTATGAAAGTATATCAATTCTCTAATGAGATAACTATGATGATTTCAAGTCAAAGGACCAACTGTACCCATCTCGTATGAGATTCCTCTAGACTAAATCAAATTGGTTCTCATGGCAAGTCAAGTTTAGTAATATGTTCTCTAACATTAAGCATCTAAGTGTTTGTTTTGGCATCATCATGCCAATAGGTGTGAGATCTTCTATCGCTATCTTATAGCATGAGCATAGCATTTACAAGTCATACCATATATAATCAATGTCCATTCTTGATAATGTTATGGCTTGGGACATTTAATGATATCATTTAAGTACATTAATATTTATCTCACATGCTTTTATCAATCATTAATGCAATGCATATTATATGGATTTCTATATAATTCTATCAAATGTAAATGACAAGAATTAATAAAAAAAATTCTTTTATTAATAAAATAAAGAATGCAATATTACAAGTCAAACCATCCAAATAAGATTGGATGTTAGGCACCTACACTAAGATGTCTTACTTCCATCAAAGTCCTTACAATCGAATCATGACACCCGATATGAATTGTAATAATACTAGTCATCTCATAAACCGAATTGTTATCCATCGTAACGTAACCACCACTTATAAGTTCATAAGTGGTAAACCGCTCTTTATTTGGACACATATGATAAGAAGCATCTACATCAAAAGTCCACTTTTGGTCAAACGATCATCTAGAGAACATTTAACAAGAACAATTTTAGTGCCATTAACATCAATAGCCTTTACCACATTAGCAAACTCAAAACTTTGACCCTACAGCTTTTTCTTTTTTTTAGAGTAGGACAATCTGATTTGTAATATCTTTTTTAATGACGAGTAGTGGCACTCAATATTGTTCTTCTTATCTAAGAGTGATCTAGACTTAGAATAAAATTTAGGTCTTTCCTTATAGCCCTCTCTATCCTTCCGTCTTCCCTTTACTAGCAAACCATTAGCCCAACTATCAATGGCTTTACCATTCGAGCTTATATCTCGAACTTAGCAAATTCAAATATGCCTTAACATCCTTTAAAATTATAGACTATCTACCATACAATATTGAATTAAAAAAATTCTCATATGAAACAGGAAATGAACACAATACAATAAGAGTTTGATCTTCCTTATCAAGTTTAATATTAAGATTTTTTATATCCATAACAATCTTATTGAAATAATCGAAGTGTTCTTCAATAGACTTACCTTCTCCCATATTAGTGTATAAAAATGTTGTTATAAATACAATCTTGTTGTAAGAGATTTCTTCATATAGAGGCTTTCCAACTTCTTTCACGGTCCCACCGACATCTCTTCATCTACAACTTCTCGTAGTACCTTATCCGATAATGATAATGGTAGAGCACTATGAGCTTTCTCATCCATCTCGACGAAGTCATGTCATCCGGGTATATACCCTCAATTGTCTTGACAAAATTTTCACGTCACAACAAAGTTTTATCTTTATCCTCCATAGACCAAAATTATTTTGACCTTCAAAAGGTATAACATCAAATTTCGAGCTACCATTATAAATTAAAAACCCAAAGATGCGCAACTCCGTGCTCGATACTAGTTTATTATGACAAACAACGAAAACATGACAAGTAATGGTAGACAATAATTAAAAGATAAAGCTAAACAAATTATCATCACATAGAATTTACGTGATTCGGCAAAATGCCTACTCGCATGGGCGAGAGGAAAGTTTTATTAGCTTAATAGCGAGGAGAATACAAAAACTTTCGAGGCTCAATACAAAGTCTCCGTTTTTCACTTTATTTCCTAAACAAAGTCATGAGGAGATTTAAATACCTCATACCTATATAGAAATTAATGTTCTAGAATCTAATCTAAAAATTAAAAAATTATTGTACAATTGAATGAATAGTTGAAATTTTATCGATAATTAGTAGATCTACTACTTTAATCTCTTACATGATACTCTTTTTTACCTAAACAAGAGATATAATACTAATTTATTAGCATTTTATGTAAAATTTACATTGTAGTCGAAGATCCATAAGAAGGTACGATATGGAAAACAAGAATAGACAAACTCTAAATAAATTAGATAAATAAAAAAAATATGAAATCTATTAGAAAAAATGAAAAAAAGAATATCGGATATGAGATTATTGAAAAAAAACAATTAAAAGAAGAAAGAAAAATACTACTATCGAAGATGATAGCTATGTAGCTATGAACAAAACCTATCGCCATGAAGGAAAAAAAAATTCAAAATTCTAGAGAAAAAAACTTTTGGAGAACCGAGCCAATGAGGAAGAAATGTTTTTTAAGTTTTTTAGTTTTTCTTTTCAAAAGAATTGTTGCAAGAATAAAATGATATGATAATCAAACTCGTAATATATAAATGCTTTTAACTCGTTTATAAAAATTCTAAAATAAAAAAAATGTCTATAAAGAAGAGAAAAAATAATTATAATTGAATAAATTAAAAAAAGCTTAATATTAAAACTTTTCGCAAAATTGTCTCTAAAGAAAGTAAATAGCAAGTTTCGGGGGTGTTCATTCGGTTTTTCGGTTCGGTTTCGATGTTTTTTTTTCGGTTTTCGGTTAACCAAATTAGCTAAAACAAAAACCGAAACCAAACCGAATTGTTGTTCGGTTTTTCGGTTAAAAACCAAATTTTTTCGGTTCAGTTTTTCGGTTTTCGATTAAAAACCAAAATTTTTTTTTGCATTTTTTTTTTTTTTTGCATTTTTCTTCTAAAAATCGAATTATTTTGCTTTTAAAAAATATCAAACTTATATAATCAAAGATTGCATATTTCACATTTGATTTTATAAGAAAATTATGTATGATTATTATTATTTTTCTATAATAAATATGTTTCTATTTATATTATAAACTAAATTAGTTGGGCTTCTCATTATTTTTTCAATCACGCTATAATTGGTTTTTTATTAATTTTTCATATTCTTTTTTTTAATCTATTTATTTTGTGCATATTTTATTGTTGAATATATAATATGAAAAATTTAATTTTTAATTTATGTTTGTGCCAATTTTAATACAAGGAGACAATTTTTTTTTTTCATGAGGTTTTAGGATTCACCTATAAATTTGTGTTTTCATAAAGAATTTCTTTATCATAGTCTTTTTATTTTTATTTTTTTGTGAGTCAATATAATATAATCAATTATTTTTTATTTCAATAAATAATTAATGAAAAATATTTCTATTTTAAGTAGAAAAAAAATCATTAAAGCTATTGTTCTTTTAGTTAAACCTATAGGTGCCTCTTTGATTTTTTTTTTTTAAAAAAAGAGTTTGAGTATGTGTTTAAAAAAAAAAAAAACTAATTCGGTTTTCGGTGGAAACTGAATTTGAAAAAAGAAAAACCGAACCGAACCGAAATAATTTCGGTTTTTTATTTCGGTTTTTTTTTTTTTTTGAAAAAACCAAACCGAAATTGTTAATTCGGTTCGGTTCGGTTCGATATTTCGGTTTTAACCGAATAGTGAACACCCCTAGCAAGTTTTGAGATGCTTTGATAGAGTATCATACATATAACCATATAAGAAATTATAATAAAATATATGGTATATATTTATTAATTTAGAAGAAAAACTTAAAACTAAATTCGTTGCCATGGATTTATTATTTATACCTTTTCCTGAAACCCCTCTCACACACACATATATATATTCTAGTTTTTTTAATTAGAACAAAAGCTGAGATGTAAAGGTTTTACTATGGTCCCTGGACCAATTACTCCATGCTATGTGAATAAATTATAAATTAGTCCTTTTTATTTTGAGGAATAAATTAATTATTATTTTTTGTTTTAAAAATTAATTATTTAATCTTTTTAATGAGTATTGATCACAACTAATTTAATATTTTTTATTTTATAAAGTGTCTTTTTTTCTCTCATTAATTTTTTATATTTTTACTTATATTTAATTATTTCTTTCTATTTTTTTAAAATAAAAATCAAAATAAATTAAAAAACAAAATAATGAAATAATTTTTTTAAAAAAATAAATAAATAATTTATTTCTCGAAGCGGGAGGAACTAATTTATAATTACTCCATGCTATCTAAATTGGATTACATTAAAAAAAAAAAAAAAAAAAAAAAAAAAAAAAAAACATCATAGCATTGCAATGATCAGTTTTTTTTTTTTTTTTAATCATATTATGCCACTAGTTGCGGGCAGCTGTTTATTAGCTAAAACTGCAGATGGAGAGAGCAACGACTGACGGATGAGTAATGATTTTTTTTTTCTTTTTCGAAATTTTAGATAGTTCATAATTTCCTTGTCTTTTTGGAAAAACAGTAACTTAGTGTTTGATTTGATTGTATTGAGTTTGCACCAAACTCGTACTTGTCGTTATTTGTAGAGAAAAATGTACAGAGAAGAAAGAAGAAAGCTAACTTTTGAGGAAACCTATAATCAGCCAACGTTTCCCCCTCTCCCCATCGTATAAATATCACAAACCAATCTGTATGTTAGTACGTAATATCCAAGAGATCACAGAAATTTTATGACATCATGTCTGACGTCGCTAAAGAAGCATGGAGGAAATATCTAATTCAACTCCAAGTTAAGCCTCTTAGGACAAAGGTTGTTTCATTTTTCTCTCTTCTTCATCCTATCCTGTTTCCAATTGCTTGTTCTTAGAAATTGTTTCTTTTTCTTATTATAGTTTTGAGTCTATCATTTATGGGTATATATCTCTGCAGGCGTTAACTTCTGGGTTTCTAGCTGGGTTAGGTGATGCACTTGCTCAAAAGATTTCTGGTGTCAAGAAGCTTCAGCTAAAAAGATTGCTTCTTTTCAGTGTAAGTGGACCTTTTCTTTTCCATTATCAGTGTAAGTGGACATTTTGTTTTTTACTTTTATCTTTCAAAAATAGAAAAAAAAAAAAAGTAAAATAATATGAAAGAATTAACGAGATAAAAGATGATATTTTTTGGAATAAAATTATATTAAGTTAAACATACTTAATACTAATAAAAGAATTAAAAAATTAATTTTTTTTTATGTAAATGAGACTAATTAATTTTTTTTAAAAAAAATAAAGACTAATTTATAATTTACTCGAATGAAAAAAAGAGAATTGAACTATACATGTTTATGTTTACTAATTTGTAAAACTAAACAACTGATCATGATTTATTGCAGCTTTTTGGCTTTGCATATGGAGGACCGTTTGGGCACTATTTTTACAAATTGATGAGTGTTATTTTCAAGGGAAAGAATGACAGCAAAACTGTTGCTAAGATGGTAAACCTCGATCGTGTGTATGGTTTTGAGTTCTTTGTGTTCAAATGCTGGTACTGCGTTAATTTGTTAAAGATCAATGAGTGGAAGTTCTTGAACGTATCAGGTTTTGTTCGAACAACTGACCGCCTCTCCTTTGAACAACCTGCTTTTCATGCTGTACTATGGCTTGGTAATTGAAGGTATGCGCCTCTATCAATTGAACTTTGAGGATATGATATGTGGTTCACTGAATCCATTTGATTTTTTGAATACCAGTAATTTGCCATATCTAACATGGTTAATGGTTTCACTGTAAGTATATATATTGTTGTTACTGTAGAGGTACGTATGGACGTGTTAGTTGGAACCTGAAGTTAATTTACGCATGCAGGCATGAAGCTATCTGTGTTCTTTGTATAACAGATTCATGATCCAATAAACCGCCTTTTGATTTCAAAACAATGTTCATTCATAAATACAAATTACTTTTTATTAATGATCAAGTTATGGTTTGTGAACCAGACATGAAAAAATGAAGAAAATATTTGAGGTAAACGTATTTTCCGTGGATCAAAGAGGCTAATGGAACATCTGAAAGACATTTTAATATTACTTAATACTAGTCTGATTGCATATCACTATCCCACTGATTCACTAGTTCCTTACCTTTTTATATGTACAAACCGCACATACTATCCACCATTTCTTACATGTTACAAGGAGCAATCACATTATTTAATCTACACAATAGTAGGGATTTGTTCACAAGATTTTTGTTTGGTACTGCAGGGAGACCATGGGTTTTCGTTAAGGACAAGCTTAAGAAAGACTTTATTCCTGTCCAATTGGCAGCATGGAAGGTGCAAAAAAAAAAAAAATCCAAATAAATATTATACATTTGACAGTACACTGATTACAACACAGCATCCAGATCAGACTAATTAAAATGATGATTTTTTTTTTTTTTTTTTTTTGACTTGCAGGTCGGGCCTGTGGTTGCTTGGGTGAACAACCAGTATGTGCCTTTGCAACTCCGAGTTATATTCGGATGCTTCGTTGGTTTATGCTGGTATGTCCTCACTCTTCACAGTTGTTCAATCTCTAAACATGTTAAATAAGCTACTAATTAATATTAATTAATTTTCTGCCTCCAATCTAATTTTTAAAACTCCATGTCTTGGCCAGCAAGCCGTCTTTTTAGTTTACAATGTTTGCGCACTTTTTATGTCAGTTTTGGTTAATTGCATTGAATGAGAACATGGAAAGATGTTCAAATTCTACTTTGCTTATCTAATCTAATATTATAATAATGACTTCTTTTCTTTCTTCTTCTTCTTCTTCTTCTTTTTTGCTGAATTCAGGACAATCTTTTTAAATCTCAAAGCACGTTCAGCTGTGACTAAGGACTTATAGAATGGAGTGATCTTTTTGCCCTCTGGATTTTTTAGCGCGGTACTCTCTTGTTTGTTGAAAAATAATTCATTCCGCTATATGGTATTTTATTCATATAATGGCTTGTATCAATGTTGTTTAACTTTTACAGACCTATGTATCTATGGAACTGCTCCTTCTTTGTAGAACTCACTACACCAAAAAAGGACATTGTAGGCCTTTTTTTTGGCTTCTAGAGGCAGGTATAACCGTCTCTACAGATTATAGAGGCGGTTTTCGGGACCGCCCCAAGACCACCCGCAATGCTGCCGTCTCTACGGTGTAAAGGCAATTTTAGCAATCATCGGGGATTTCGAAGAACCGCCTCAAAATTTTTTTTTTTTAGGCGGTTCAAATTGCCTCTACGATACCAATATTATCGTCAAAGTTTTTTGGCACATAATTTTTGGAGCGAGTTTAGAACCGCCTCTACGTTTCGAAAGTTTGCAAATTCAAAACTACCCTAAACTATAAATTTCATAATTTGTAGAACCGCCTCTACATTTCAGATTTTATAATTCGTGTGGAATAAATAATTTTTTTTCCAAATTTATACGGATTTTATAATTCATCCTTCGAATTCAATTGTTTTTTTTTATTTTGTCAATAAATAAATAAATCAAAAAAATGTTAATCTTGTTGAATGCAAATAAAAGAAAAATTATATAGCTTACACAATATTCTTAAATTTGTAATTATCAAATTCCAAATACATAAAGAGTCATCAAACATTCACAAGTAAAAAAAAAAAAAAAAGGATTAAACACTTGTTCGAAATACATAAACAAAATTCCAAATATAATTTAAAATAAGTGGCTACCATTTTTTTAAAAAAAAAAAATCATGTTTTTATGAAAAATTTTCATTTTGACGGATGACTTGATTGTGATGAGCGATTAGGAGAAGGAGTATTTTGACCATTACCATCATTGCGAACCTATCAAAAGCACAATTTGAAAGTATATATATATATATATATATATATATATATATATATATACAAATAAAAACTCATTAAAAATATTTTAAGATCAATAAACATGTTAATTATTTAATTAAAAGTATATGATACCCGAGTAGGATTCAACGAAGTAGGCATCAAATTCGATTATGCTTAAAATATTGCACATCAAAGAAAAATGTTAAACACGACTAAAACGACCAAGAATATATATTGTCGTTTTATACCAACTACTAATTTAAGTAATCATCGACTTCTACTTGTGATGGGGAAGGAGAGCCATTTCCAAACCTACGGTTTGGGATCAACTCGAGTAGATCACCGCTCTCGAAGAAGGATCGATGAAGGGCCTTAACACATTTTTCAGCTTCACTATCATTTACTATCAAAGAGATGTTCACTCGATAATACAAAGAGAATATTTGTTAAAAATAAGAATAAGACTTCGATGCATAAATGTTGAACAAAGTGTTCGGTTGAAAGACCTTAGATGCCCCTTGTGAGATCATCTGCAGATTGACTCCATTTGTTTGAAGAACATGAAAAGCCTACTATAGAAGAAGCAAATAACGTGAAGCGTCCGGGAAAAAAGAAGATTTATTATGCAAAAGGTACTCAAATCATATAATCTAGCGACTCATAAAAACAACATTTGGAATTCTCTCTTTGCATAAAAGAACACCGTTTTGTATCAAGTGCACTCTCTTTTTGTATAAAAGAAGAAAATTTTATTGCCTTTCTTTCTGTCATAGATTTGGTAGATTCCCGATCTATAGATGAGCTTTTTGGTCTTGAATACGCTTTGCACCAACTTGGTGCTCTTTATTATAAATTTTTCTTATCATAAAGGATTGAAAAGAAAAACAACACAATTGAATCAATAGAATCTATTCGGGGAAAAAAAAGAATAGAATATGTTCCAAGAATCGGGATCCTATCCTCTAAATTGAATTGAGAAATACAACACCTTTTCTAATATTAATGAAGAATGTTGAATATTACAATGAGAGAGATGATCGATCTTTCTTGTAGGAGATTTACAACGGTAACTTTTTCAAGCTTTTTTACTACATTGTCAAGTTCCTGCTCAAATAAGACAATTTTGAAATGGTTTTAGTGCCAAAAGAGTTAGCAAGATTGCTTGCTCAAATAAGACAATTCTGAAATGGTTTCGGTGCCAAAGAGTTAGCAAGATTGAATAGATAAAAATATTGTTTCTTGGGAGGAAGAAAAAAATGCTTTAAATAAACCAAAATCACGCAAACTTTAATCGAGCATAATTGAGATCTCCTTTATGCTCATTGAAAATCCTATAATTTCAATAAAATGAACCATTTGCTTAATCATTAATGACCTTTATGCTAATTGAACATCCTATGATTTCAATAAAACGTTTATGCCAATTCAAGTCGATAGTTGTTGAAAGTTTAACGAACCATTTAGATTAGAAAGTCAATCATACTTAATCTTTTGGAGCATTTCGATGGATTCTTTCTTGTAAAAATTATTAAGATATGAGAGTCACTTGATATTTCCTATAGCAAAGATCCAATCGACACCATTTTATGACTCTATAGACCCCACTTGTTGAGTATTTTTTCTAGGAGCAAGTGGGTATCTCCCCTAACCTTTTGTTCTCCCATTCAACAATATCCATTACTTTACCTTATCTATATGCAATTCCCCATCTCAAAAAATATTAAATTTAAATTTCCTTGAGAGTCAAGTGAGAAAAAATACCTCACCTTTTACAAAATCCATTTCAACCGAGCCAAAGAATAGTAACTAGATTGAAGCTAAATATGAAATAACAAAACACACCTAATGGCATATCTCACATATATTGTTACCCTTTTCATTACACCACCTTCTTCAAATCACTAACAAATTAAATTATGAATCAAACTCACCTTCTTCAAAATCAAAGATAACACCCCTCCACCTTGTAGTTGAATAAACCAAATTCAACTTTATCACAAGCAAACCACTTCATTAAAAACCATATTCATCCACCTTCAAGACTCCTCTACTAACTATAAAAACCATATTCATCCACCCGAAAAATCCTTAGAAAGTTTTCTAAATATTTAATGGATCGACTAGATTTGATAAATTCAAAATGACACTAACCATAAAGTTATTAATAATCATACAAGAAAATGACCTATTTGAGGCATCACGTATGATCATATGTCTCCAACAACAACAACAAAAAAGGTTGTTAAATTTATCTAATATATTTACGAGTAAGAAAATAGCCATTTTACCTTAAAAGTCAAATATCAATATCCCATTGAACGGATCTTTTCATCCGGTTGAATGGATCTTTTCATCCGGTTGATTCGACGTCGGAAGAAGATACATGCCCATGTGGTTTTAAATGGCATAGCAATCGTTATGCCTAATAAGTAGAATTTGATTTAGCGAAGCTTTTTCTTTATTAATTCATGATGCCCTTTTTGTTTCTTTCTTCACTAATTCCATACAACACCGGATCCCCCTTTTTCTCTTATATAAACACCTATACTACTCACTTTTAGCACCCCATAATAGCATCAAGAATTTGAGCAAATGAAGGCCAATAATATTCGACATAGCTAGCTCTCTCCCTCGCCATTTTATTCACTTTTAGCTAGTCCAATGCGGAACAAACACAACCCTTTTCAAATATTCTAAAACTTGATCTGTTTCTTGACAAAATTGATAAATGGAGTCATCATCATCATTAGATATAATCTCAATAAACGGGATCAAAACTAGCACCCTCAATAATTCTAACGGGAGTTTTCTGTTTCATAGCGCTTCTATATCCAGTGCAGGTGGCATTGGTGGTGGGGGTTGTATATTCCTACACTAACTATAGTGGTAGGTCTAGACTCGAAAACATCCTCAAGTTTCTCGGCTTTTATGGTCACATGAGGGTCTATTGCTAATGTCATATGTAGCTTCGAACAATCTTCAATATAATAATCCAATTCAACTAATAATCCTAACAATATTCAATCTAATAATCCAATTCGGATAGAAAATGAATAACTATATAATAGCTTATGGAACACAAGATTCACGAATTCTTGATTACACCCATGAGTAAATTCTTTTTTAAAAAGAGAAACAGAGAAAGAGTGAAGATACTATACCATGTCAATAGTCACCATAGGAGGTAGTTTTTTCTAGGTTGTCCATTGTTGTGCACTCGTCGACCACGTCATCTTCACCAAATGGTAAATTAAAACCGAATCCTATATCAAATGTATCTCATCATTTTGCTATTTCCACATAGCAAGCGATATCAACTCGAAATGATAACGAAGAGAAATGAAACGACAATGAGGAATTATTTAGGGAATGGAAGGTTGAAGAAGGAGAGGGAAGACGAGGAAAGGATGAAAGAGAAGCAAAAGAATCCGTATGCATAAAGGTGGAATAGGGCGGTGAATTCACCGTGAGATGCGAGAGATTGAAAAAAGGAGAAGAAAAAAACCTAGAAGTCTAAGAGGTGGGGAGGGATAATGAATCGATTTTTCTCCTTTCAAAGAAAATAAAAAAAAAACACGGGGTAGCAACTAAAAAGTGGGGTGGTTTTATCACTCGCCTCATGTAAGTTACAAGTAAGATTAAAACTATGAAACTTTGAGACGATTTTTTTTACCAACTCAAACATTCCGCCTATATAGCCTTTTTTTGGTATAGTGACTACCTAGAGTTTATACCCTATAATCCATCATCGCCACCCGTGAATCTTCCCGCATTTATGAGTGTTAGAGGATATTATTCTTCATGAAATTGACAAGTTTAGATCAGCCGGATCGAACAATGACGAGAGCGAGGATGTAACGTGTGGGGGTCAAATTAATTTGAATGTATAAATAATTAATATACCTATGTGTATATATATAATATGTTAAAGGGTATATAATTTCTAACATTTATTGATTAGGTTTACCCTACATTTAAGATTTAGGAGTCAAAATTAATCGACTCTTATATATATATATATATATATATATATATATATATA